TATCTATCTATCTATCTATCTATCTATCTATCTATCTATCTATCTATCTATTTTACACACATATTTACAGTTCTTTTAATTGCAATCAAATATGCAAGTACGCTTAATTCATCTTTATTCAGTTGTTACTAACAACCAAGCATGAAAGGTCTATGTCAGCAATGCAACGCATTCTCACTGCTTGTGGCCTATTACTCTTTCAAAAATGCAAAGGGCTAATTGATTTGAATTCCAAATGCTTTGTGAACTTTTTGTTCCGCGTGTCTGTCCCCAAAGGTTTTCCGTCACTACCATATTTAGCTGTATTAATCAGCCCGCCTCATCTTAAGTGCCAGGGGATAGAATTCTTGGCAAGCACCAAACTGAAACATGTTGCCACTTCCCATAGGTGTAAATGAACTGTGATAACACCCATGTCAAACGGCGGTGAACATCTTGCCGCTGAGAGGCTTGTGGATGGGTCATTTCTCTTTTTTTTTTCTCTCCGTGATGAAGCAGAATTTATGACAGCAGGGGTAATGAAAAGAGAAAAATGAGAGCCACGTACACTTGATTTTAAAAACAGGAATGTGAATAGACTGCAAAGGGGATTTTTGGTGCATGTCTGTTTTCTTCTGTAGTCTTAATGCTGCTTTTCAGTCGTAGATCATTGACAAAGAGCTCAGTTAAAAAAAACAAAAAAACACAAGAAAATACCCTTAACAATAATGCAAAACAGATACTTTCTGCCCATGGTGGTCTCTTGTGCAACTATAATAAATACTGTAACATTGAGATCTTGAAATCAAGAGAAATTAGAAAGATAGCTGTTTGATTCCACCGATTAGATGTTGAAATGCTTTTGGGCAACACTTTGTAATCGCCTCTCAAGTGTCCATGGAACAGCACGTTGCAGCCTTTAGCAATGCTAATAGGTGAATATGACTTTTTGATGTTTGCTTTTTTGTGTGCTTTTCATTTATCATTTTAATTTATTGCCCATTGTGGGGGAGTGAAAAGGCTGAAAGTCTGAATTAAATTCAAATGAAAAGAAAAAGAAGTTTGCATCACTTAATTCACAATGTATTCGTGCATTACATTGTGCCAATTTCATCAGATTTACTCATTAAACTGAAAAAAGAAAAAAAAAACATTTTTATCTAACTCATATGTGTTGCTGAAGGGAAGAACTCCTTGGTCTTCCTCTAAGGGAAGCCCTATGCAGTGTCTAAATGAAAGTCTATCACATTATATTTGTACTGGAATTTGTAA